GCTTCTTTAGCTGTGGCGGACCTTCGGCCGAATCACGGCAATGATATCGATCACGACAACGCCGCTGTCCATGATATGAATCGCAACGCTCTCCACGATGGCATGGGCAGTCATGACGCAGATCATGCTACGGAGTGGAAAAAATTACTCAAGCAACATAAGTACTCGTCAGAAGTATCATAAAAATCTGATTTACTCAATCAAATTTAGGAGAAGACCACGATTCTGTCTAGTTTTTTATGGCGAAGTATCGTCATGTTATTTGTTGTGTACGAGAAAGTTTTTTTTTCCTTTCATGTACGCTTCCGGCCATGTTGCGGGCTCCAAGTTGCGACGTATGGCATCTGCTACCGATGATGACTGGGCCAGCACTACTGACGAGGTGGATATGGACATCAACGCCTTCAGTTCGGATGAGCTAGCGCTGGTAAGAGGAATGGGAAACGAAGGAGGTGGTAGGTAGGGGAATAAAGGTGGAGGAACTAGCGCTGGTTAGAGGTGGAACAGGAAACGAAGGAGGTGGTCGTGGTAGTTAGGAAACTACAGGAGGAGGAACTAGCGCTGGTTAGAGGTGGAACAGGAAACGAAGGAGGTGGTAGTTGGGGGATCACAGGTGAAGGAACTAGTGGGGGTTATTAGGAGGCTACTACTGTAGTGGTGGTTAGGAGACCACAGGTGGAAGTGGTGGTGGTTAGAAGGGCGCAACAGCCAAGAACAGGTGGGACTTTCAGTGGAGAATAGGTGAAACTACTTGTAGACGAGGCGAGGACGAAGGGATAGGGGATAAGATAGCAAATGAGGAATGAAGAGGTGGCTAAAAGTAGCAGAGGAGAAGGACGAAGAACATAGAAACAAGAACATGGGGATATAATTAGTACTAGTAGACGAGGAGGAGGAGAAAAGCCGTAAAAATAGGATGAGAGGTGAGCTTGAGTTAGGACGCGGGTGGAATTAGTACTAGTAGCCGAGGGCGTGGAGAAGGAGCAACAGCAAGGACCGACGTAACAGGATGAGAGGTGAGTAGTTGCAGAAGTTAGGAGGTGGGTGAAATGACTAGTAGTAGTGGAGGAGGAGGAGGAAGGGCGTAACATGATGAGAAGTGGGACGAGGTTGGAAGATGGTGGGAGCTGAAACTCCTAGAAAAGACAGATGAAGGTGAGTGAAGAAATGGAACTCGTGCTCGACTATGCCGTAGGTTTTGCGTTGGTAATTGGGATTGCTGCGGGTACTTGGGGGTGCAGACTCGAGCAGTGAAGGTGTATGAATGGAGCCTAGTACAACTACAGGAGGATCCATCGGCATAATGTATGAGTGTTACTTAGATGAACTACATCGGACACAAACGAAAAATGACAAGAACAAGAATATTTTCAGCAAGCTTAATGCCGTACGAACCAGCAACATTCGCCGCATTTTGATGGCTTTAACTTAAATTTCGTTATAAGTATCAATGTATTACCTATACCTAATCTTCAAAAATCATAACGAGAAAGAAAAACACCAAAGTCGAATATTAAAAAATGCTAATGCTTCGGATAACGATAATGATATTATAATGTACTCCTTGGGACGTGTTAGGTTACGTCGTGTACAGCGTGTACATGAAAAAGGCATGAAGATCAAACTGATTGCGGCTACTCCCACTCAACTCGTGGATATGGGCTGTGTCACCTGTGCTCATATGATATTCGCAGAACTTGTTCTCTTCCTAATAAGAAAGATCGGCAGGGTCAGGGTATAGGTTCAAGTTGGCCTGGTATCGCTTCAGCTTCTACCTTATTTGTTCATGTTCTAGCAGTAGCAAATGCCAAAGCTATGATACAAATGACTTTCCAGACTGCAAACAAACAAACAAACATCTGCACAGTCTTAAGAAAAGGATACTACTCCTCTCACCCACAGTCACAGCATACTAGAATTCATAGATGAAATGCATCATAGAATAAACTGTACTCAATTGCGTCGTCAGTAGTGGCGCAGCCTCCACCCCCGCTGTGCATCAGACTTTCAGAAAGAAGGGAACCATCACAGAAAAATCAACAGTTTCCCCCCAAGCTTGCGACCAATTATGTTGGGCAACACCAGTATAACCCAACCCAAACCCTGTGCAGCACACTACAAATGCTCGGTCACAACCAAACCCGTGTCGTTAATACCCCTACCTCTCCAATTATAGAAAACAAATGAAGATATACCTCGCGACATCCGTCGTGGGCGACGTTTTGGAATATATCGAAAGCGTGTTGCATTGAAGTGCTATGATTGTCGAGGGCGAGAATTAGGATGCAGCTCAGGCATTAATGCCTGATTAGTTGCGTTTCGAGTGACTTTGTCGTCTGTAGGTGAACGAGTTACTTCTCTGAATTTCATCAATTTACTTAGAAACCTGGACAGATTTGTCAATCTTCTGTCTCAAGTTCATGAATTTGAGTATCACTACTACGAATTTGAGCGCGTGGGCGTGAACATAGAATTAGAAATGACTAGAGGCGACGCTGCAAAAAGAAGGATCAAGTCAAAGTCTGTCCCTACAGCTACACCAGGGTCGAGAGAAAGCGTGCTATTTCGGTAACACCTGAAAAATCAGTCGTATATGCAGATGCTGAGTGAAGTAAAGAGTGATGTTGACTACCCTTCTTGTTCCCCGTATCATGCCTACCTGTCTTAGAAACAGCAAGAGAGCAGAAGTTATTGTTATTATTTACGATCTTCAGTCCTCCTGAAAATTCAGACTGATGCTTCCACATCCACGTCACAAGCTTCAAAGTTTTTCGCCCCATGTGCAAAATCCCCACTCCATAGTCCTCACTATCAGAAAACCACTATAAGTGTAAGAACAAGTTCTTGGTGAGTAATTCTCACTTTGCTGGTCAAGAACATAGAACTATGTAGCTATGTATACGTATGCAGTTCTTACAGTAGTCTGACACTGATTCTGGAGAGCAGGTGTCTTAAATGCTTGTCATGGTTTTGGTTGCATGCCGTGACGTTGAACTGGAATGTGTAATCTGAGTCGGCAAATAGAAGAAGTTGAACAAGAAGGAATCTGAATTGATGGTCATGTACTTGTATGTAGTTGCGTATTTCTAGTACGCTGCAACTAACATGAACTCATATGTCGCGCATCTGCAGTAATGGAAGATCCTACTTGTTGCGCGCTGCTGCTCACCATGTCGCATCAGCAGAGCCGTCTACTTTATCGATCGTTTTGTCGAGATTCTATTCGCTGGTCTCACATTCTCATTCACTTTGGCAGGCAGCATCGTGGTCACTGTTACAGCGAAAGGGAGTGCGCCAAACTGGCCTGATTGGGCTTTCTGGGAATACAACTTTTCGGCCTGCGACCCAGCCGACGATCATGCCTGACATGGCAATGGCGATTGTTCGTATGAGAAACAGTTTGATCTCTCGTTTTTTGACTAGGGTCGCATCGGAGCCAGGCAGTTAGCTGCTCCTGCTACGTTGTTCGAATG